ATATTTCAAAAACTAATGTGTTTCATGTCGGCCAATCACCTTTGGTGAGGATTTGTGCTATTCAAAATTCAAGGTCAAACTGAAGTAGGTAAAATTCTTCAGAAAACTATGAAGCGATAGCTCTAAGAGGTTCACAGGTGACTGGAAAGGGAAAAATAAGCCCTTCTGTCATCAAAAGCCTCTATATATCTCTCACTTCAAAGGTTAGATAGACCTTCAGGTACTTTACAGTCAGTTCTTCTTCCTTTGAAAACTTTCTTATCATTGGTATTAAAGGTATTATTTGACTTTTTTTGGTCACTAAAAGTCAAGTTTTTGAGTAAAAAGGTTTGTAAACAAAAAAGAAAAGGGTAGAAGTGATTCTTGAAGCCATACTTCAAGTTGTTTTAAGGAAAGTAATAAGACTTTATTAGCAAAAAAGTATGAAAACTTCTTGCAAATATCTTTTTTGTATGTGATCAGAGAATCAGTGAAAAGAGTTTTTTCTTTATATAAGATTTTTAAAATATCAATGTAAAATTCTATTATAATTGTGGAATAATATTATATAGAATGTAAAAAAAAATATATACATTTGCAAAGTTTTCTCTCTCAACTATCTATAAAAATTTAAAAAAGTTTAAAAAAGTTATTTATAATGAACATTCAGTTAGAAATTGCTGGTCAAAAAAGATTGATAAAGCTTCTTCACAAATATTTAGACAGTATATTTATAGGGATAATTTATTGTTGACAAGAGTACACTCCCAATTCATTATATATTAAAAAGTCAGATAAAAATTTTAGCTTGTGAAGAGTTTTATATTAGAAAAAAATCAAAAAAAAAATTTTTAACAGATCATAAATTCTAGTTTTTACATGGCAAACCTATTTCAAATATTAAAAAGATGCTTGATAATGAGTAGTGCTTTTAGTAAGATAATGGCCTGAAGTATACAAATTGCTTGATAAAAGCTTTTATTGGTAAAAATATATCAGATATTATTAACTGGCCATCAAATAGTCTCAATTTGAATCCTATAGAAAACCTATAGAGTATTATCAAAGACAATATGGAGAAATGTATGTCAAAAAATCAGAATAAGTTGGAATAATATATGGGTGAGGAATAGAGAAAATATTAAAATTTGTTCTAATAGAATTGATTTAATCAATGAAAAAATATTGCAAACTAATTATAGAAAATAAAGGGAAGCATATCTCATATTAAACTTTATTTTTTAAAAATATATTTATTAAACTACATCTAAATAAAAGCTTATATTATTTCATATGACTATTATCATATAATAAAAAAAACAAATTTGAGTTTTTTTTTAATTAGATTGTAAGTTAATTTGTATTCTTTGCTTCAATATTATCATTTTTTCTTTTTCTTTTCTATATGTTATTGGTGTGGTTATATTGTAATTGTTTATAGTTGCAGGGTTCTCAATCATTGATAATTAGATGAAGTGCTGGAAGATACTGTATATTCATATTTAAAGTATTAGTAAGAACATTGAATATTTTGTCCATGTTTTAATTCAATCAGTTCATTGTTAAGTAGATTTGCTATTGTTGCAATTAGATATCTTGTAGATTTTTAAAAGTTTTTTCTATATTTTCTATCAATTTGTTTATATTTTAATAGAAAATCTGATCTTCCTCCATTTGTTCTATGTATTCTTTACTATAGCTTTTTAAGTTAACAATTTGCTTATCTAGATTGGCAATTTCTTCTTTAATTTATCTAATTTCTTATCTGATTGTTTTAAGAATATTTAGAACTTTTTTCATAGCATTTGTTTTTATGAATACATTGATATGTTCATTCTTCTTCTTTTGCTTTTATCCCTATCTTGCAGCTGCTGCATATGAGCCAGATCAGGTTCTCTTGTTTGGTTGCTTGTTTCTGATAATATTTTTAATTGCTTCAATATATATTGGTTTATATTTAGTATATAGTTTGTCAAAGTGTTTGGCCTGTTCTAAGTGATATTGGTTCCATTGTGTGCATTTTTCTTTGAATGGGTAGCTTGTTTCTAGATATTTATCACTGTTGCAAATACTATACAGTTTGGTGTCAATTGGTTTCTATTTAAATACAGTTTCTCTCAAATAAAAATTTTCATTTATTACTATGTCTCTTATTTCTTCACTATTGGAACTGATCACAGAAAATCTTTTCCTTCTGTAGGATAAATGTCTAAGAATATAGTATATCTTGGCTTTAGTTTGTTTACAGATATATCTTAAGTCAAAGACTATAGTGTTAGGTGAAAGATTGATGAGTTTGACTACTATTGCACCTCTTTTTTCATTTATTTCACATTTAATAGTATGTCAAGACTCTATCTGAGTCTAATCTTAGTAGTACACTCTATTTGTTAATAATTAATTGTTTGTTTTTTTGATTTCATAGATAATCATAGTAGTTTGTCACATTTGTTGGGTTGTAATTGTGATATAGGTAATCTTTCCATATTTGGCAAAGGTTTGTTGCACTTCAATGAACTTGATGTTCAAGAAAATCTCTTATATGACAATACTATTTTTCTTTTTTTTGAAAAGAAATTGTGATTTTTATATATTCTAGGTACATGTTGTTTGTGTCAGGTAAAATAATATTGTATGCCTTGTTTGCAGCTTGTTTTTCATCAAAAATGGCAATGATATTCTTAAACCAGATGAAAAAATATCTTCTCTCTCTTTCTTATAGAGGTTCTAAAGTTCAAGAAGAAGTTTGGACCAATAACTCTATGCTAGCCGACTAAACTGACATTAACATTATAGGTAGAAATAGTTTCTCTCTTAGTGTATAGCAGATTGCTTAATTTTTCTGAAGAATTTTACCTATTCTAGCTTGACCTTAAATTTTCTGTTACATCAGATTTTGAATGGATTAATTAGCTGAAGTCTAGAATTGGTTGCTCCATAGTTAGCAGAAATGTAAATAAGGATATATATGATATGGAACATGAAGACATTTTCTAAGCTTTATAAGAATCTTAGATCTATTATAAGTTACTAACTAGTTGTGCAAGTGAATAAACATCATATGGACTGTGATCTTCTCTTTCTCATAAATTCTGAAAGTGTCAGGGCTATGGAATAAGTACTTTAAAAAATAAAGTTGAGTAGAAAAGTTGTTGTTAAGTGTCCTTTCATTTCTTTTCCATCTCCTTTTTTTATAAATATTTTCAACTTTCCCTTTTTATTTTAACACTAATTAGTCATGAGACTAGTATAAAAGACCTCTAATATCAAAGGGTGTTAAAAATCTTGAACAAGTTTTGATATGTTAGGTTCTGTTAGTGGATAGTAACAAGTCGATCAGTAAATATATTAATATATTCTATATAATACCAATTTTTGATTAAAAGAATAGTTCAGCAATGCACAATCATATATATCTAACTTATTTTTAGTTTTGTTTTTAAAAGAGAAGTATTATACTAGGCAATTATATATTTTTTCTATCTTGGTTAGGTTAGATATAGATTGAGTCATATAAATAGATAACTCATTATTCTATTTTTTTTTAGTAATTTATAAATTCTTAAATAGTATAAAAAAATAATTATCTTGATTGTTTCTAAATATGATTTTTTTTTTTTTAATAAAGCATTGGAAAAGACATAGGATAAGCCAGTTTTCAAAAAAAAAGCTTGTTTATATTTTAAAAATTGATATGTTTTATATTAATTAATCATTTTTGATATAGATTTATATTATTTTAAATTTAAGATTAAATTGAGATAAACAAAATTTATTAAAAAACCATAAAAATAAGAACTTTAAAAGAATCAAGATAGTTAAAAAAGGAAAGAATAAATCTTTTATTATAGAAAATCTCTATAAATCTTTTGTTTTAAAAATTAAAAAAAATTTTAACTATTTTATAGTTGATTTTTCTTTCTTTGAAAACTTTCTTATTATTGGTAATAAAGATATTACTTGATTTTTTTGATTACTAAAAGTTAAGTTTTTGAATAAAAAAATTTATAAATAATAAGAAAAAAGTAAAAATGACTTTTGAAATTAATTTTTAAATTGTTATAAGAAAAGTATTAAGACTTTATTAGTAAAAAAGTAACTTCTTATAAACATCATTTTATATGTAATTAAAGAATCTATAGAAAAAATCTATATTAATAATATTTATTACCAATTATTATTAATAAATAAAATAAAATAATAAAACTTGATAATTTTTTATTATTTTAATAAATATTTCCAATACTTTTGTAAATAAAAATAATAATCATCTGTTTTACAATATACTTTATAAATATAAATTTAAAGCATATAAAAATATTGATCAATATAATATTCATTATACATGTAATAAAGAAAGTAAGTATATAAAAATATATTCAAATATTAAATAATATAAAGAGAAATTGAAAAAAACTATGAACATATAAAAAGAAAAAAAAAAAAACATTAAAAATAAATTCTTATAAAGATTTTAATAAATGAAGTACAATATATTATGAAGCGATTAGGGTTTTGAGTTCTATCAGAATCTTAAGTATAATTCACAATAATAATTTGTTTAAATATTAAAAGAATTTTTATTTAAATTATTAATATGGTAACAAAATAAAGATGAGTTAAATAGAGATTTAACTTTAGTGACACGTATTACTGTAAATAGTCTAGTCTAATAGAAAGTAAAAAAAAAATCATGATAAAAAAAATTTCAGATCAATTGTAAAAATTGACCAATCAGATTAATCCCAATTATTAAGAAAAAGAAAATTCGTTATAATCGAACTTCCTTTTTCCATATCCCAAGTTCTGGGGTGAGTTTTTGACATGCGTTTATTTTATTTTATTTTTTTTTTCGTTGTGAGTGAAAGAAGCATTATTTCGTAATATTCAAAGTTTCATTGTATAAAAATTTTTTTTTTGAAAACGAATGGGCAAGTTTTTTTCTGAAATGATTTAAATTGACCTTGAACATATATTTAAATCATTGAAAATATGCAGTTTAATTTTACAAATTTGTAAGAATGGGTCGTGTTATTCGTTCTCAGAGGAAAGGTCCTGGTGGCATCTTCAAGTCCCATACTAGACTCCGCAAAGGGGCTGCTAAATTGCGCCCTCTTGATTTTGCTGAACGCCATGGGTACATAAGGGGTATTGTTAAGGAGGTCATTCACGACCCAGGTCGCGGTGCTCCTCTCGCTAGAGTTCAATTTCGCGATCCTTATCGGTGTGTATCCCATATATATATATTTGATCGAATGTTATATGACTTGTTCATTCATATTAATTATATTCCAAATGTAGTTATAAACTTCGTGTTCAAACTTTCATTGCTACCGAAGGTTTACACACTGGCCAATTTATATATTGCGGAAAGAAAGCCGCTTTAACTGTTGGTAATGTACTTCCGCTCTCATCTATGCCCGAAGGTACAATAGTCTGCAATGTTGAAGAAAAGATTGGTGACCGTGGTGCGTTGGCTCGTGCATCTGGAAATTACGCAACTATCATTGGTCACAACAATGAAGACGGAAAAACTCGCATTAAATTACCTTCTGGTGCAAAAAAAGTTGTTAGCTCTAATGCACGTGCAACAGTTGGTATTGTAGCTGGAGGTGGTCGCATCGATAAACCTTTGCTTAAGGCTGGTCGTGCTTACCACAAATACAGAGTAAAAAGGAATTGCTGGCCTAAGACTCGCGGTGTAGCTATGAATCCCGTGGACCATCCTCATGGTGGTGGTAATCATCAGCACATTGGTCATGCATCTACAGTATCCAGAGAAAGTGCACCCGGACAAAAGGTTTGATCTTTTTATTATTACTATTTTTTATCGGTAATTTTTATTGAACTATATGTTTTTTTAGGTCGGATTAATTGCTGCGAGGAGGAGCGGTTTACTTCGTGGTACTAACAAGGTCAAGAATACTGCTGCTTAATAGGACAGTAATAATTACTATATGAATTTGGTAGGCGATAATTTAAGATACTTAAAATCTCAATTACTATAATATCTTCGATAATTATTAATTCTTTGAATGGTTAATTATAGAGAATACAAAGGAAATTTAAGATTGTAATTAAATATATTAATACGCAAAATTCTGTATTTCTCTTTCTACTGAGTAAATCTGAGCCTGGAAAAACTCGTTAACAATAAATTATCCGTTCGGAAGTGTAAAGTTAGAAAAAAAAAAAAGAAAACCAATTCAAATCTTGCAATTCTTTTTGATACTTTTCCGATCTGTTCTCTAGTTTCCTTAATTACTCAAGTGGAAAGGACATAAATCATCAAACTTTCCTTTCATTTACCTAAAATCTGTAAATGTAACTCATTCCCAATCAGCAACGGGAGCGTATTCAATATTGCTTTTTCAAATTTTTAACCTATTTTCTTAACATTATTACAGTATATCACTTGAAATTCCTTTTTGAAAAATCATGAAGGTGAGAGTTTTAAAAGAGCATATATAATTAATAAGAGAAGAAGATAAGTTTTTTCACTGTAAAAAAATTTTTATAAACACTTGTTTCAAAGGTCGAAAGATTTTCAGATACTTTACAATTATTTTTTTTTTTCTTTAAATATTTTCTTGTCATTGGTGATAAAGATTTCTTAGTTATCAAAAGTCAAATTTTTGATTAAAGAGGTTTATAAAAAAGAAGAGAAATATAGCAATGATCTTTAAAGATATTTTTTAGTTGTTTTAAAAATAGTAATAAAATTT